GACAACAGCATCACTGCATGGCTGAAACCTTTGCTCTACTTTCTATTCTCAGACACGCAGTCCTGCTGAGAAATCACCAGTGGAACTGCCTTCATAACCAGAATCTATACTAGTTTAATTACCAATATACTGTTTAACAAATAAACTGGAATGCAAGAATTAAAGTGATAATTTTGAATTTGAGTCAAATACATGACCGTAATGAGAAAATGTTTGCCATTTTTTGTATAATTAATTTAGCAAAGCAGGAGGAAGGCATACTTTCACATTCACTTTAATTTATTGCAAACTTTTTATGTCTCAAAACCAATTCAACTTGATTTCCTGCATTTAGAATACTATTTCAATCTGAAAAACTCACATGAAGAGAAAAGACAATTAGGAGAAATTTATTGATACAATTACTTTGTCTTAGGCGCTCAGACCTCGGCAGGAAACATAGCGCTTAATTTTGATAGATATGCATGAAAAGGAGCAAATAATAGGGCTGTCCACCCCCCACCCCCCATATATATTTAAACATCCATGGTGTCTAAATTAAAGGTATAGTGGATAAAATTCTTTCAGGTTTGAGCTCTGGGGCAAACATCTCTTCCATTGTCATTACTTACCTACTTTTATTAATAATCCTTCGGCATAAAATTGATATTTACATGTACTAATATCTACATGAATTGATTATTTAATACGTTTTTATTAAAAGACTTATTTATCTATGATTTCACTAAAGACTCCTAGATGACTTGCAGAGACACATTATTTTCTCCTTACCCCATATAACTAAAAATGTAGTTCTTAAAAAAAGAGCATGAATTATCATCTTTAATGTTAGTTTCTTGATTAGCATAATTAACCAAAGGGTTTTTGTTGTCACGTAATTGGTAATATATGAAAAAATTAAATGTTTTGAATATTCCACTTGAGAGTATTACTGTTGCCAAAATCTGTATTAGAGGGAAAAAAATGTAGGGGTGGCCACAGGGATGGCAAATGATTGGTTAAGGGTGGCCCTGGCCACCCCTGGCCCCCCATCTAGCTGCGCTCCTGAACATAAGCTCATGTGTGATCAGTTTTACCTCTTTCACTTCTATCCTTTCCTTTTGCGCTGGAGGTGCTGGATGGAAGATCAGTTCCAGTGAGTGCAGAGTGGTTGTTTATCAAAAAGGCACATGCTCATGTCAGAGCTCTAGTTTATAAAGGCATTGTTTCGCAATAATTAACCTATGAACATGGACAGATGCCAGAATCCAAACGTAGTAGAGATAAATTTCAAAGGGTGAGTAATGGTTACAACTCACTCACCTTTGCAGCTAGTAATTTGTTGTATAACGAGCCTAGAGTCATTGGCCTGAAGTGTAATTTCCTCTCAAATGCACCGACATGAAACACACCACCGCCAGCTTCTACAAAAATTAGGTGATAAATGAGGTTTTCACTGCAAAGCTGCAAAAACTTTAATGTTGTAAGGCAGCTATAAACTGTGGAATTAATCTTGCAAATGAACGGCAAATAGTTTATATATATATATATATATATAATTTCTGAAATTAATTGAAAGTGATTAGACTTTGTTATTGTATTGTTATTTGAAATGTTATTTAACATGGAGTTTTTAGTCTCGTAGACTGTCTGTGTCAATGCTTTTTTTCCCCACCCTGCTGCATTAAAATATCTCGACAGGAACAATCATAAATTTATATATTGATAAAAAACAGAAAACATCAATATGTAATAATGCACCTACACACAGGATTCACAATTACACCCTATAAAGTCCTCTGAGATTAGCTTGAAAACTTCAGTAAATTATTTTATCTAAATCAAACCAACACTAAGCTCTACTAATAACTGCTACAATTATGTAAGATTAGAATATATATGAATTAAATATTTACTTTACATTGAAAAAAAGTTAATTGTTTCAGGGTATTGCTTATTCTTTAAAAAAAAACTATTATACATATATAAATATTTATATACATATAATAATATCTGACTATTTCCCTTAATAGTTCTATTTAAGCCTAAATAAGGAAGTGTTTCCTCCCTCCCTCTGGCAGAGACATGCAGTAGGTTAGAAGTTCTTCAGCTGTATGTTACATGTTGTGTGTAATCTGTAGTCACAAAGTCGTTTGAAGTAAAACAGACCTCTTATATAATTTATAACCCCTGTAATTTTACATTATATAAGTATACTTTTAAGTCCTCTAAGTCAAAGTGTGTTTATGCAACATTATCTGTGGCCTCCAAAGATTTAATGATAGTTAAAAACAAACAACCCCCCCCCAAAAAAAGCAGCCGATTGCAGCTCAGTGAATGAGAAATAAAGAGGCTGTTTGTAAGGCTGACCGCAGCACCTAAAGCACGCACCCTTACATCTGTGTTTTCCATAAATGCCAATAAGCAGCTTCTTCCTTCAAAGCACATGTAATTAGTAGGCTGGTGCCTGAGATTATAATTCTTTGCAGACCTCAAACTGTTGTTAAGCAAACATGCAGAGAACTTGGTCATTTTCAACCATGTGGCAATATTATATACTATGAATTATTTGCATGCCAATGTTGCATCGCTGGTGGTGGGGGGGTTCTGCACCACAGAACCTCACTGCTACAGCTTTATGAAAATCCTCTGCATTATAGTGACATAAACTACTGAATAAAAAGAATGATGGCACAAATTATTTGATTTGTGGTGCAACCCAAAAGTCCTTCACAACAAAAGCGTCCTTGGTACTTAATTACTTTATTTGAAAAGTCACAATACAGTTTGATTAAGCATGTTGTCATAAAGAATATTCTTTAAACTCAAAATTACATGAGTGCTGCCAGCAGTCTTGTCTGTCAAAGTATTACATCTTGGTAACACCTGAACCGTTAAAAGATCTGTGTGATCCTTGAGCTGAAAAAATTTACACAAATACAAATACACATTAGGGTATTCTATTATAAATGTACTCACAGTATTTACTTTTAATAATAACCTGTATATTTTACATGACTATACTCCTTGTACAAAACTGCACAGCAAGGGGAATACACTATAAAACATAAGTCACAACCTTCAGCACTGGTGCAGTAAAAACTGTGCAACATTTGCAAGCCAATAAAACCAGAGGAAATTACAACCGACCTTTCATTGTATACATGTAAACAAGCTTTGCTTTTCCTAGAAAAACATCCTTTATGGGGTTAAAAAAGATGCAACTACCGTTCCTCATCAAATGATCTTTTACCAAGACTATAATCAGCTGTTTCACTTTAAAATATAGAGCATTTAAAATAGAAAACAAAACAAACAGACAACATACAGGACAGAATAATGAAGCTGACATATAAACTGGGAATGCTTTTAGATTGTAGTTCTATTCCAAAATAAACGTTTTGAAAGCCAAAGGTCCTTACATGCACAAAAATCATCCTTCCAATGATCCAAACAAACATATGTGAATACATGCACGCTACTTACATACATAAAAACATACAAACGTACTTACATAAATTTGGAGAATATGGATTGGAAATACAGTTACCCACGTCTTGTTTTGCATTAGAGTATTTTGTGCAAATCATCAGCCATTTTAAATTGAGCTAATGAAAAATCTACATTGTGAAATGATACGTGAACATATTTGCTGGCTCTGTACGATTCTTTCTGATTTAAACGGAGCCAAACAGAAATACTGCCTGGCCAGCACTTCTGATTATTTCATCCATTCGGATTATTTTTCCATCTGGCAGTTTTGTTTCCCACCAAAAAAACTGGATCATCATCACAAAGCAGTTACATATACTGTGGGATAAAGTCATAAATACAAGAAGTCACTGTACATGCAACTTTTTTTTTCTAAACAAAAAATGACTAATCAACAGTTAATCTTTTTTTGCTCATGGTTGCTCTAAAATACACTACCCTGAGGCCAAGTGAATTAATTGCACCCATCTTATCTTTATTCTACACATAAGTTTGAATATATTTGTTTACTTTGGGGACTGTTGATGTTAAGGTAAATTGATTGTATGAGGTGGAAATTGTCCTCAGTTTCTATTTATGAAAACTGTGTTGAAGAGGCAATTGCACTTCATCTATTTATGTGACAATTACTGTCAATTAAACTAAGAGTATTTCACTCTGTTTAATTAGAAGAAATCTAAATTCTTCTGTTGTTATCTATTGTAAATACATTTCATTATTACAGAATCCAAGATAATTTTTCCTATGCTTACTTTTTTTTTATATTTACTGTTTTTTTTTCTTTTTTTACCAATATGAATCATTGACACTACATATAAGCTTTGTGCTCTTCTGCTTATTGATTAGCATGACCATAGTTCTTTAACACTTTATAGGGCACTCAGTGAAATAGTATTATTGGAATCCAGGAAAAGACCTTATTACCTTTGTAACATAAAAAATATGGATGTTTTGATGGCAAAATTAATGTCAATGTAATAACACCAACTTGCCCGAATATATGAAGAAAAATAACAAAAGTGCTTCTATAAGAAATTCATGAAAAAACAATTAAAAAAAATTTTTTTTTTTGGTTTTACTTTTTAACTTTTAGTATTTAACCTTTTTTCTTGACTTTTCTTTTCAAACTTAACTTACAGTAGGTAATATATCATTCAAGGGCTCATCCAATTGGTCAAATGCCAAAATTATATGCACAGCCATGTAGCAGTATCTCTGCTGAATGGCTGGATATAGATCTTGTGCTTCACTGAGGGACGGGAGGGGGATCATAAACCATCACTTGCCCTATAAAGGGTTAAACAATGAAATTTGCAGAAAGCATAAGCATAAGGATTATTTCTCACTTTTGTTTCTATTTCAAATTGTCACATTTACATAGCCTTAAAATCTCTATGACCCACTTCCAGATGTTTGATCGAGGTGAAATTTTGCATGTGATGTTATTTAAATCTCTCTTAAAGTAGCAAATTACAGCTCTGAACTATTTGTGGTTTCTGATTTACATGTGTTTAAACTGAGTAAAGTCTGAAATGGTTGTGTTTTTCTATTTCTATTGGAAAGGACTCACACAGAGGGAGACTTTTGATGAAATTAAAGTAACTTATGGTGATGGTGCCCGTTATATGACCTTGCAAAATGTTTTATAAGGTTATATTATGGGACATTACCGCTATAAGTTACTTTCATTTCCCTTTGTGTGCGTCCTTTCAAATGCAAAAACTCAGACTTTACTCAATTTTAACACCAGTAAATCAGAATCCAAAATTTGTTCAGAGCTGTAATTTGCTATTTAGTCTAAAGAGGTTTAAAATACTTCACATGCAAAATTTCAGCTCGATCAAACATCTGGAAGCGGGCCAGGAACATTACTTATTGAACACACCTCGTAAGGTATGGGACCAAAAGTGGATCTAGCCCAGGGCCAACATTCTCTAAAGTCCTGCCCTGTCCCCTTCAGCGTGATACCAATACCAGAAAGTGTTGACATTTAAAATATATATATTGCCATTAGAATTTGAGGTACTCGTTCTTCAGTCTGCTCAGTCTACTTCCATGGCTGCGGATGATCAGAGACAGCAGCTCGTGTTTGTCCTTCAGGCCCAGGGAAATGTCCAGGGTCTCCTTCAGGGAGTCCCGTGTGTGAACGATCATGGTGAGAAAGTCGTCACTGAGCCGGTGCTCCTCCTTCAGCTCGCTCTCCTGACTCTGTTTGAACTTCACCTCCAGCTCCAGCAGGGATTTCTCCGAGTTAGTGAACGCATCGCCGATCTGGGCCGTCTCCCTGCGCAGATACTTCCCGTAGCTGTCCTCCCCGTCCAGGTCGTAGGAGATGCTCTTCCCGATCCCCTCCAACACCCGCGCCGAGTCCTCGATCTGCCGCTTGATCAGGGTGAAGTCATCCTTTATGACCGAGTCCTGGTCCTCATCCAGGCTGCACTTCCTTTCGTCGGTCATCTTAAAAAGCATCTGGCACTTCTCCGGGTCGTCGTTATCCTCATATTCTCCGTCCGGCACGAAATAATGATGAAAAGTGCCATTAGACATCTCCGGATGTAGTGGCCCCCGGTAAAAGGCTCCACCAGCTGGCTGCGACAACATCCAGGCACTTAGGAGCAAGTGAACAAAAATCATGATGGAAACTTGCAAGGTGTCAAATCTGAGGTTAAATATTTGCAAAATTACGCACTTTTAAATGTTATCCTTGTTCAGCGCGCTGCAAACAGGTTCCAAACTGCGCAGCTGCAGCTTTAATGTCCGTCTAATCAAACAAACTGGAAAATAAGTTGCTTCAAATTGTTTCACAGCTTCTCCTCCTCGTCCTTTAACCCAGTCTGACAGCTTGCATCACCGCTGGCAAGCAGGATAGCGGGGAATGAGAAAAAGTTTGCGCCGGCGTGGCTCTGCTCCCGACTCTGCCTGGTGCCTCAAACGCAACATCTGGACGTTTCAAGAGCCGCGCTCCACTTTTCACTAATAATACCTCTGCGCTGCTCTCATGTTACAGCGCCTCCGTCATTTTCAAAAGGCTGCATTCAGGACTGGGGCTGGGAAAAAAAGCCTCTTTCAAACCAGAACCAAGACCAACTTTGAATTAATTTGCTCAAACATGCTCAAAGTTTATTACACTCCTGAGTATTATACAAGTGACCACATATATAAACCTGAAATGCCCTTTTGTTAACCAGCCCTTTAATAACTCCCTAGTGGCACACCTTTAAAAACGTCTTACTTCTTAGACATAAATTACGTTTGACAGAAATGTTATTCATTTTCCTTATATTAAAGTTTAAATTAGATTAAAATAAAAAAAACAAAAAAACAAATATGATCCCAGTAGCTGTAGTATTGTCAGTATTAATCATGTCTCTACTTTTTATTAATATATAACAGCATGTGGGATAACAAGAATATATCAGCACAACCAATGGTGTAAATATCGGTAAGCAGAGACTGCAGTTGCTTAGGGGCCCCGTCGCTGGCATCTGTATGGCCCCCTAGCAAATTGTAGGACATTCCTCTTAAACCCACCTGATTCTATATTATCATATTGGACCATATTTATACCCGAACTATGATTGATTTCAACATGATGGTTTTAAATACTATGTTAATAACTGTGTATAGTTCATTAGACGGTTGGTAAAAAATGCACTAATTTAATATGTTTCAAACTGCAATAAAGATCTTAAAAGAACAAAGTATTTGAGTATTTCATTGCTTACACAAAGACTCGGAATTATGGGTAATCCAGAGCATATATTAGGGGATGGGGTGATGTACTTCATATGGGGCCCACCCAGATAATGTTGCTTACAGGCCTATTGTTGTGTCATTATGCCATTGAGCACAACTACACTTTAAAAACAGAATGCAGCTTAAATGACTTGCTTCATTTGGTAACAAGTAATTGAATTGATTTTTCCAATTTTAACTTTTTTTTTTAAACATGGCAACTTATATAAATAATAAACTTCATTCAACTAACCTACTTGTAACCAATTAAAGCAATTAATTTATGTTGTAGATGCATTCACTTTTTAGAGTGTAATTAGATGAACAAAATATTGAACCCCCTTGATCTATTGAATATTTTGCTCATTATAATAATCATATTTTTAGTTTTTGAGGGGAAATACATTAGCCTTTGAAATACATGACCCCTGAACTACAGCAGATATAAAAATCTGAAATGTTTGGCACAAAATTGCATTAATCCCAGCTTCCAATATCCTTTGATAAATACCCTGCCATGTATCGCCTAAACCCCCTGACTGTCACAGTCTTTTGTTATGTTTATTTAGAGTATTCAGTTTTACTTTGCTCCTTGTTTTAGTGTTTAATTATTATTTTGTTTTCTTGTTAGTTCCTGTCTTCCAGGTTTTCCATTTGTTGTCCTCTGCTGCCCTCTTGTGTCCTCTATCCCTAGCTCTGTTTTCTGCTCTGTCCTCACCTGTTTCCAATCGTCTCGTTAGCCCTCTCTTTGTCTCTGTCCCCGTTAAAAGCCCTCCCTCTTCAGTTCCTGTTTGCTGGATCCTCGTCTAACGTCTGTCTGCTTACCTCCTCTCTCCCTGGCTCCTAGTGTTTGGTTTCCCCTGATGTCTCCTTGGTTCTTGTTTGTTTGTTATTTTTGTTGGATTTTTTTAATTCCTGCCTCTGTACCTGTGAACCTCATTAAACCCACCTAAATTCACCTCTGCCTACTTGCCTCTGCTTTTGGGTCCTCAATCCAACACCAAATCGTGACACTAACTGGTAAGGTCTATCTTGCACTAAATACAGTGGCTCAGTCGAGCTCGGACTGGCAACGATTTTCAGCCCTGGCATTTTTCCATCTGATTGAAGCATTGAAGCACAGTCAAACATGTGGGTCTCAAATGTGAAACACAATACGAATAGACATTGTGGATGAACCGATCTATCTTTAAGCATCACAAGACTTCCATAATGCTTTTTAACTGGCTTTGGTAACCGAAGCACGTAAGACGGGAAACGTTAGCCTTTAGATGCAATACTCCATCATGCACCGCAATATATTTTTGCAAAATATTCGAACATAAATTTGCCAAATATAAGATGAACTTCGTAGTTTAGTTTAAAGAAAGCATTTTACTTTTGTTGCAAGGATTTTACAGTCTGAAGAAATGGAAAATTACACCATATGCCAACCGTGACAACGATGTGCATGACAAGGAAGGGCTATATATACTGCATGCATCAGTTAGGTAGTTAACATTGTATTACTTCTTGAGCTCCTTGAGTTATTTACTGTCACAGGTAGGAGCTTCAGCCGGAGAGTAAGTGTTGTGGCCGGTATGATTTAAGGAGGGCCAGCCTTCGCACGCTGAAATTGGGACCCCGGTATCACAGATTACCAGTCTGAACCTGTGCTCAGTTATAAATAACAGAGAGAACTGAGGAACAGGCGAGAGAAGTCACAAAAAAAGTTGTGAGGAAGTTTAAAGAAAGGTTAGTATTCATGGAGCACAGGTTATTCCATCATCCGGAAATAGAGTTTGGCTTATCTACAAATGTACCAATGACCGGACCTTTTACTGTAAATACATGAACTGACAAGCAAGGGAAGGACCACAGTATGGGAAACTGCACATTTCAACAGCTCAGGTTGGAGAATATGTCAAGTCTGCCTTTTATGGAAGACTGTATGATCAGAAATGTTTGAGGATAGAGGTTCCATTTGCAGTTATCACAAGCCATATTAAAGGACCTGATATTGGGTTGTTGTTAACAGATTTATTGACACAGCAATCAATGAAATACATAAAAAGCAAATCAATGAAATACATAAAAAGCTTTAAAAACATAAACAATTTGTCATGCAGTGATTATTCGTCACTTTTTTTTTTTTTTTACATTTGCGGTCAATATTCATAGAGAACTAATATATCCTGCCAGCAGGCCAAGATTGAATATAGGAACATTTTGCAAACTGTATTTGTATTATGTAATGTCTGTAGTATCTGATTGAGATCTTTACTGTAATGTTTAAATAACTTGTACTAATGGCTTAGAGGGAAATCTGGCCTCAGGAAGAAGATCTGTTAGAAGCTGCAAAAAGACTCGAGACCGGCTGATTATTTCTGTTTCTTGTGAACAATGGTCTCACTTATTCAGCCAGATTGATAAAGGAAAGGTTCAGATCCAATATTCAGGCATTATAATGTCCCCGACAAAGTCCAGACCTGTTTATAGATACTTTCCGTGCAATCTTAGTAAGTTTTATACAGAGATGAAGAAGTGGTAATTTTGGTCTTTCCATGTGTAAAGAGACAATGCAAAGAGGTTTTTACCTTCTAAAGGTAAAACATGAAATAAGTCGAAATCAGTACTAAGAATTATAGCTTAAGAGAAAACATGTTCCTGTATTCTTAAAGGGAACGCTTGTGCTACACTTTATTACAACCATTTAAACTCATATAAATACCTGGAAGGGTACTGAAATTTAACATCTAAAGATCAGCTACAAAAAACAAAAGTTGTTTTACAAATGGTGGTATGTCTAGAGTGAAACATTTGTCTCTGTGAAAATGTGGGACAGCTGCAATTCAGAAGAGCTGTCCAGACTGGTCAAGGTTTAATGCTGGATACTTGACTGGACGATCTGGTGATATGATCTGAAGAACAGCTGTGTTATTTTATCCAGTAATATGTCGTCAAGGCTGTTGCAAAGGATTCTGCATGAGGTCCGTTTTGTATTTTGACAATGTGTAAAGAAAGTCAAGTTTAATCCAAGACACACAACTTACTTACGTAATGTGAACTAAAGATGTGTCAATCCTAGACCTGTTATGCTTAAATGTTTATTCATCTAAGCCCAAAGCTACTTATTTGGGTGCAACATAAATACAGTGGGACATTTTTTTTGCCTTGAAATATTCTGCCAGTAAAGTCAGAAGCTGAAATAGACACCAACCTAATGACAGGGCTGTCCTCCTTCATTTGGCTACTGTAGCCACTGAAGAATGACTCAAGGTGAAAACTGTGTAGATTTTTTTTAACATGGTCATGGAGTTCACGAGCCAACATGCTAAAGGTGATCCAATGTTTTAAATCCCCACAATGCCACAGAGCATGTGCATATCTTTCCTGGGGAAACAGCAGAAGTCATTAGATTGCCTACCCCTGCTGACGAGTCCTGTGCTCATTCTTTCCATAGCAGGGGTGATTATTCACTGTTTTGACATGCAGGGATTAGGCTTGAGAAGAAGGACTTCCACATAGTACACATATGGTTAGAATGTTTGGAAATAGCTGAATCAATCCATTTCCCATAAATGGTACTTCTCTTTAAAGTTCAACCAAGAAGCAATGATATAAAAAAATGAATAAAATAAAAATGCACAAATTCAGTTTAATTATTTTTTTTAAACAATTTTTGGGTACCTGGCTAGCTAGTCAATGACTTTCCAAGGCTACAATATCTGATGGAGTAAATACTGTAACTGTGATGATTCCTGACAGTTACTGACTGTGGAGCTGCTGTGTGCAGTCCCATGGCGTCGCCCGCAGCTCCTTCTACTGTGATGGCAATCAGGTCTGAGCAGTTATAACTGCAACAGCTCCAATCACTGGGAGTTGCTGCACCTGGTAGGAGCACTATATATTTCTGATCTCCCCAGTGAGTAACAGCCAAATTCCTGAAAAATGTTTGTGCAAGTAGGACATCCAGCGCTCCAAGTTTTGAACTCCCAGTCTTGATCTGTCTCGTTCCTGTTTCTCTTGCCTTCCTCGCCCCTGTTCGATACTTTTGATTGCTTCTGCCCTCCTGCCTTGCCTCCCAACCAACTCTGTCTCCTTTGCCACTGTCTGGATTGTTCTGTCGATTGTGTCTATTACCTAAACCTAGTCCTCAGATCTTTATTTGTCCCTCTGGAAATTGCTGCCCAGTTTGTGGGCATCCATTTACCAATTCCCTAAAAATAGATTCCCATCTTGTATAG